GGCTGAAGCAGGAGGATCATAAATTTGAGAACATCCTGGGCTGCATACCAAGGTCTGTATCAAAACAAACATATGTGTGTAATGTACATGTGTGTTATACAAGTGAACGAAAAGAGAAAGACTAATATACAAAATAATTTAACTGAATTATAGAAAAGAAAATAGTCATTCTGGGGACAGAAGTAAAGACTTTCAAATAAAGTAGCAGAGAAAATCAATGTACTGTGAAGGAGAATCTCCTTTAAGCCAGTTTTCTCCAAAGATAGTCTGAATCAAGACCAATTTGCTGATGATCCGTTTTTCATGGTCAAGTTCATATTGTACCTCTGGAGAATTTACTCATGCCCTCTGGACTTGGGTGTCTCCCAGTCCTCTCAGGAGTCTGCTGTTTGCCTCTTCAGATGTTTCACCCTCACTGGGATCTGAGTAATGTTCTATTTTCATATTTCTGGAACGCTCTTATCGCTATTATGATAGCCTGTATACGAATCACTCAAGACATCCATTTTGTTTCTTTTTTTAATTAGTTTTGATTCTTCAGCTGAGACAGCAAAAGAAATGGTTTATTGCACCCGTGTTACACTTGGTCACAACTAGAACAGAACTAGTTCAGAATGCCTCAGGAACTGTTTCAGTAGTGAATGAGGTGGCCCTCTCAGAGACTGGCCGTTAGTGGTGGTGGAGGTTCCAGACACATTGAGATAACTTTTTGTTTTGTTTTGTTTTCCTTTTGTAGACAGGGTCTCATTATACAGACCAGGCTGGCCTCAAACTCAGAGATTCACCTGCCTCTGCCTTCAGAGTTTTAGGATTAAAGGTGTGCCCGCCCCCCAGCCCAGCTAATTGAGATAATTTTTCCTCAGTCTCCAGCATTCCTAGTTGCTGTCCTGAAGCTTCTGTGGGTACACAAGCTAGTTTCCCGGGACCTCTGCCTCATCCTTATTCTTCCATGCTTTAGCCTGGGCAATTGCTTCTTCCTCCACTTGTTCTCACAGCATAGACGTTTCTGTGAGGAAGATGGTGCTAAGGCCAAGAGCACTTTTTGATTCTTGAACAATTTCTTTTTTTTTTTTTTTGTTCTTTTTGAGACAGCCCCAGCTGACCTGGAACAGCTCACTATGTAAACCAGGCTGGCTCTTGAACAATTTCTATTCTTCTATTTTATTCAATACATGATCCAGTTACAAAGGAAATGAAAACAATGAACATTATACAAATGTTCTTGTATAATGACAAATAATTATATTTATTGATTACTTAAAAACGTGGTTATTTTGTGTGATAGTGGGAATTGAACACAGGACCTCGTACAGGTACTCTATCACTGAACTATGTTGCATCCTGACAAATAATTACGTTTATTTTAATATGTGTGTATATGTGTTAGTGTGGAGGTTAGAGGACATTGTAGTGTCAGTTCTCTTCTTCTATCATGTAGGTTCCAAGGATCAAACTTAATGTTGTCAGGCTTAGCAGCAAGTGCCTTTACCTACTGGTCCATCTCACTGGCCTAAATAATTATGTTTAAAAAAAAACAAGAACAAAAAAAAAACTCAGGGGCTAGCCAGGCGTGGTGGTGCACGCCTTTAATCCCAGCACTTGGGAGGTGGCATTTGGGTGCTGAGAACCACAGAGATATCTCTCCAGCCCTTTACGGGGTTTTGTTTTAGATCTTTTTGAGACAAAGTCTCCCTGTAGCCCAAGCTGGCTTGGAACTCACTATGTAGACCAGGCTGGCCTTGAACTCATAGAGATCCGCCTGCCTCTGCCTGCTGAATGCTGGAATTAAAGGTGTGTGCCACCACACCTGGCCATAAAAATAAATCTTGAAAAAAAAACACCCAAAACAAAAGGCTGGATGTGATGGTGCTTGCCTTTAAGCCCAGCACTTGGGAGGCAGAAAGAGGAGTGGATCTCTGTGAGTTCAAGGCCAGCCTGGTCTACAGAGTGAGTTCTAGGTGAGCCAATCATATAGTGAGATTCTGTCACAAAACAAAAAACAAAACAAAACCAAACTAAACCAAACCAAACCAAAAAAAAAAAACAAAACCCAGAAGTCTTAATGACGTAGACTTGTCAAAATATTCAGATTTTAAACCACTACAATTGGACATTTTTGTGGAATAAATTATCATTTAATTTGTATGAAATATCTGAAGGAATCTCTAATTTGAGTGATGACAGAGGTACAGATTTCAAGATTTAATTATGATATGAGTGTGTAAAAGTACTGTGAGGAATACAGAAACGTGTGGAAAGATAACTGGCTTGTTACCTTTTAGACTTTGAGAATTAAAAAATTATTTATCCTTATTTTATGAGTGTTTTGCTTGCCTGTATATATGCTTGTGTCGTGTGATGCCCACAGAGGCCAGAAGAGGGCGTTGGATTCCCTGGAACTGGAGTTGCAATAGGTGTTAGCCACCATGTGGGTACTGGGAACTGAAGTGGGTCCTCTGCAAGAGCAGCCAGGGCTCTTAACCACTGAGCCATCTCTCCAGCCGAGTTTGAGATTTTATAAAGATTTATGAAGGAAGGCCAAGTTGATCAGTGTTTTTTATTGCACTCCACAGGTTTGTATAACTTGGCTTAAAAATAGTATACTAAATTTTCACTATAACTTTAAATTGAAAGTCTTATAAAGGGTCACATTGAAGTCTGGGATTGAAAAAAACAAACACCTCACAAAAGCAAGAGAAGCCTCAGAAGACAGATAGATGTAAGTGTTAGGGTTCAAACCTTAGCAACTCCCTCCCCAATGCAACAGGGCCTCATGGTTCTGCAGGGCCCCTGAGAATGTAGGAACTGAGTTAATAAGCACCCTGATCTTGGAAGACAAGGATAAACAGACTCTTTACACCTTTTGACCCAGATCCTGGCTGATGGAAGAGGATGGAAAGGGGCGGTTTGACAGAGGCTACTCTCTCCTGATAAGTCCTGGGCTCTCTCTCTCTTTCCCCTGCCTAACTTTTTAAAAAATCTTCCAGCCTTCGGCATCCCCCAAAAAACCCCCAGCCAGCAGCCTGAAGGACCGACCGACCTGCAGCTTCTCTATCTTGGAGGAGACTGTCCTGTGTGCTTTCCTCTGCTAATAAACTATCCTGCTGGAGTTTTATCTGTGTCTTGGTGCTTTTTCCCGACTGACTCGATTCACCTATTAGTAAGGTAGTATCCTGAATGGAATTGTGAAACAGAAAAAGGATGTCAGGTTAAAAAAAAAAAAAAGGAAATCTGAATAAACTATGAACTTTGGTTAATCATGAACCAATAATAGCCCATTAATATTAACAGATGAACTACACATGTAAGATGTTGATAAAAGGAAAGCTGTTCATGTGTGCATGTGGAGTGTATGGGGGCTCTCTATACCATAGGCTCAACTGTTCTGTAAATATAAAGCTGTTCTAAAAATTAATGTTCAGGGGCAGGGACATGGCTCAGTGGGTAAAGGTACTTCCAAGCCTGGTGACCTGAATTTGATCCCTGGAACCCATTAAAGGTAGATGGACAGATCTGACTCCTTAAAGTTTTCCTCTGACCTTCACATGCATGCCACAGCACCGACACCCCATGCACACATTGTGTGCACACCTACATACAATAAGAGGTAATAAAAAATAATTTGTAAAAACTAAAAAATAAGTGGCTGGGCATAGTGGTGCATGCCTTTAATTTTAGCATTCAGGAGGCAGAGGCAGACAGATTTCTGTGAGTTTAAGGCCAGCCAGGTCTACATATTCAGTTCCAGGCCAGCCAGTACTACACAGTGAGACCCTGTCTCAAAAACCACACAAACAAAACAAAACAAAAAATAGTTCAGTTGGTAGAGTACTTGTGTAGCATGCATGAAACTTTGGGTTCACTTCCCAGTACCACATAAATCAAGTGTGGTGGACATGCCTATAATCTCAGCACTTGGGAGGTGGAGGCAGGTGGATCAGAAGTTCATGGTCATTCTTGGCTACAAAGTGAATTTGAGGCCAGCCTTGGCTACATGAGACTGTCTCCTAAAATAAAAAGGCAGATAGAAGATTCAATTTCACTTCACCTCTAATTTCTAAATCATAATTTTAGTTCATAAAGTATTAACTAGTACACACTAAGCATCTTTTGTCCAATTTCAGATAGTTAATTTGGAATAAATTTTGGAAATATCGCACATATAGAAAATGCATGTCTTTTTTTTTTTCCAAACAAGGACTCCTTATTTATGTATCTATTTTGTTTGAGTGTATTGCCTGCATATATGTAAGTGCACCTGTGACATGCAATGCCCTCAGAGGTCAGAAGAGGGCATCAGATCCCCTGGAACTGGAGTTAAAGACAATTGTTAGCCACCATGCAGGTGCTGGGAATCAAACCCAGGTCCTCTCCAGAGCAGCCAGTGCTCTTAACTACTGAGCCATCTCTCCAACCCCAAACAAGGAATCTTATTTCACTAATTAACTTCTACATTGTTCCTTTTTTCATACATACACCCTTTCCCCAGTTTTTTGGATAAGGGTCTCATGTAGCCCAGGCTGGCTTCAAACCAATCATATAGTCAAGAATGTTCAATTCCTGCTGCTTCCATTTCCCAAGCGTTCACATTCATTCCAGGCATGCGCCACCACGGTCGACTTTAGCAATGTATTATTAAACTTCCTCCAAGTCAACCATTTAAATAGACTCCTTCTTTTTTTTTTTTTTTTTTTTTTTTAAAGAAACAATTGTGGCTTTCGGGGTCACCAGGTCACAGGTCACTTCTGCTCCTGGACTGAGACTCGGGTTTGCTGTGCCTCCTACCCGCCAGGCCTCGGTGCTGCTGCTGGCAGCCAGAGGATCCCGGGCTCGGGTGGCTGGAGAGACACAGGGCACTCTGCCTTCCCACAGATGGAAGAGGGCAACGAAGGGGCCGGCCAGAAGGTGGATGGACTGAAGGACGCAGGGACAGAACTGGAGCACATGCGTTATCAATAAACGTGGTTGACACTAGGGGGCGGCCGAACGCCAAGTCTGTCCACACTGCGCCTGCGCCCCCAGACTCCACCTCCCCATTCTGCGCTTGCGTGGCGCGGCTTCACGCTGACGAGCTAGAAGATGGCGGCGTCCGCAGTCTGCCGGGCGGCCTGCTCTGGGACGCAAGCGCTGCTGCGCACCCGCCGTTCGGTGAGGTCGCGGTGAGAACGCTGGGCTGCAGCGCTCCGGCCTCCTGCGCGCCAATAAGGAGCGGGCTGTTGGCAGTGCCGGGTGGAGGTGGGGAGGTCGCGAGGTCAGGGCCGTGGGAAGGTCACGGCTGAGGCCCGGGATGAGGGTGGGGATCTAGCTGGCACGGGGGCTAAAACTGGCGTTCACCCCTCCGGCCGGCAGTCCCGGGAGCGATTCTCCAGCCATTTCTCACTTTGGCCGCATTCTCCCTGTAGCCGGCCCTGCTAAGGTCACCTGTTTTGCGGGGCACCGCCACCTTCGCCCAGGCCCTCCAGAGCGTGCCGGAGACACAGGTCAGCCTTTTGGACAACGGGCTGCGTGTGGCCTCGGAGCATTCCAACCAGCCTACCTGTACGGTGAGTGGGCGCCAGACCTCTGGATTGGCCCAGTTCGCTTTTCCCAGGTTGTGACCTTGGGCTGCAGTCCTCCGCCTGTGGTTTGGGTGGAGACTTTGGCTCACTCACTGCCGGATTTGCCTCTGATCCCTACTTCAGCCTTGCCTTAACTTCATGGGGGCAGCCCCCTCACTCGCAGCCAGCATTAGCATAGGACACCTGCCAAGGATAGGGCCAAATTTTTTTCCAGCTTTTTGTCCCACCCACATGAGAGAAATGATCATTATCTCTGTCTTACTATGAAGAAAATTATTTAAGAGACTTAAGGTAACTTAAGTGATGAGGTAACTTAAGTGACATGTAAAATCGTCTACCTCTGTCAGATGCACCACCTATTTCATAATCACCAGGCTAGACTAGAAATGGACTTCAAGAAATGCCTCTGAAGAGCTAGGAAGATGGCCCAGTGGGTAAAGTGCTTGCTGCTCGAGCATAAGGACCCGAATTTGAATGCCAAATGTGAAATGGGCCTAACTACAGTGCCAGGAATTGCTGAGACAGGTGGGTCCCAGGGGCTCAAACTCTAGCCAATCAGCAAGCTCCATGTTTAGTAAGAGACCCTGTCTCATAAAATAAGGTGGAGGAGCTGGAGAGATAGCTCAGGGGATAAGAGCTTGCCTTTTTCTTGCAGAGGACCAGTGTTCAGTTACCAGCACCCACATTGGGTGGCTCACAGCTTTACCTGTAACTCCAGCTCCAGGGGATTCATTGCCCTCTTCTGGCCTCCGAGGACACCTGTGCTCAACTACACGTATCTCCACATAGTTAAAAATAAAAATATTTTTAAAATAAGGTAAATAAAGTGGAGAGTGATAGAGGACACCCAACTTTTTTTGCTGTCTTAATAAACAAATGTATGGTCAAGTACACTTACATATTCATATACCACACACACATACACACCCAAACAAGAGCCTCTGAGGAACTGGGGATGTAAGTCGATGGTAGAGCCAGCATATACAGAGCCCTGGGCTGGATCCATAACACTGAAGTGAATAGCATAGCAGTGAATTAAACAGTTATCCAAAAACAGTGGCAAATTCATAGCTGCTCTTGCAGAGGACTGAATTTGGTTCCCAGCACCTCCTTTGGGCAGCTCATTACCACCTATAACTCCAGTTTCAGGGGATCTGACACCCTCTTCTGGCCTCCCTGGGCACCTGCACGCATAGGTAAACACACGCACACACACACACACACACACACACACACACACACACACAGAATAAATACTTCTTAAAAATGGTTGTAAATCCTCAAAATTGATTCAAAGATAGAAATCTTGAGTAGATGTATGAATAGATGAGAAAACTCCTAAGAACTCACCCTTCTCCCAACACACTAGCTCCAGGACTTGTGTTTTCTTGGCAGTTTTCCAGGAACAAATAATGTTTTATGATATAAATTGTTACCAAATACAGGAAAACACAGTGAACAACTTCCTTGCTACGTAGCACCTCTTTAAACTTAACCCAAAGCCCATTAAGAAAGCTTAGTAAATCATGCTGTATATTGGAGACTGAGATACCATAGATTGTAAGGAGTATCACTGTGCTTCAATTCTAAAGAAAGAACACTGTTTAAAACAGGAGGAGTAGAGGGCCTGGAGAGATGGCTTACTGGTTGAGAGCTCTTGCTGCTCTTGCAGAGGGCCCGAGTTTGATTCCCAGCACTTATGTCTAATGGCTCAGACTACCTATAACCACATCTCCATGAGGATCCAATGTCTGGCCCCCACAGGGAGCAGGATTCACGTATGCACAGGCACACACATACATAGATAGAAAGAAAAAATAAATTTTCAAAAAAGATGCTGCCAGTTATAATCAAAGGATTATATTGTGGATCAGTTAAAAGTACTTGCTGTGTAATCAGGACAAGAGTTAAGATTCCAGCATTGCCTAATAAGCTGGGAACCCTGATTGTAACTCTAGTTTTGAGGGATCTGATGCCACTTTCTGGCCTCCATGTGTGCACTGACACCCACACCTGCACACACATGCACAGACATTCACACACAAAGTGCAAGCACCACCACAACCAGCTCTTTAATACAAAATAGCCTCCTTCCTTGATGAAAGGATAAAATCATCAGAACACAGGCAGGCTATAGTATGTTGTCTATTGAGACAGTCTTTCTGTAAGCAGAAGCTGACCTTGAATTCAGTCCTGCTTCTGCTTCCAGAGTGCTGGGATTAAAGATGTATGCCATCACACCTGGCTTGGGTATGAGTCTTAGAATATAGAAAATAACGGGTATGGTGGCACATGCCTTTAAACCCAGCACTCAGAAGGCAGAGAGGCAGGCAGATCTCTGAGAAACCATGCCAGCCTAGTCTACTAGGCTAGCTGTGGCTACAGGAAAACCTGGTCTGAAAAAGACAGAAAAAAAAAAAAAAGAAAGATGATAAGCTTCATGCCCAGAAAAAATAGAATTAATTGCAGGCCTGGTGGCACATGCCTTTAATCCCAGGACTCGGGAGGCAGAGGCAGGTGGATCTCTGAGTTCTAGGCCAGCTGGCAGCTGGTAGAAAGTTCCAGGCCAGCTGGGACTACAGGAAGACCGTGTCTCATGAAAGAAAAAACTCAACATCCTTTCTATTAAAGTAATGAATCAGGATTTTACTGGCAGACTTAGGAATTGCTGTTATATTAGTTTCCCAGAGGTTTTTCTCTTTTTGCCAAAGCCCCCTTAGAACACCTGTTTCACCAGTTAATTCTCTAAGCCAATGAGAAAATAGTCTCATTCAATAGTCACACCCCATATTTGAGCACAAATTGCCGGGCCTGGTGGCGCATGCTTTTAATCCCAGCACTCGGGAGGCAGAGGCAGGCAGATCTCTAAGAGTTTTAGGCCAGCCTGGTCTACATGGTGAGTTCCAGGCCAGCTGAGAGTACATGGAAACCATCTCAAAAAGACCTGAAAAAAAAAAAAAAAGAATTTTATACTTGTGGAGCCAGGTAAATGGGCACAATTGAGAAGCTTAAGACAGGAGGATTCCTGTGAGTTCAAGGCCAGCCTAGGCTTCAGAGCAAGATACTGTCTCAAAAATCAACAAATAAAAAATGCTTCTGGATGTCTTTGATAACCAGTGAGAAATAGGGAAGGAAGAAGAGGTGATGCAGTTTGACTAGTCATTTGGTTCGTGCTCTGTGCTCTAGGCCCTCTTGTCCCTCTAATCATAGTGATCTTACTGTATCAGCTCCTCCCCATATTGACAGCTATGAGGACCTACGTGGCGCAGTACTGAGTTACTCAGTGATTTGTGAGTGGGGATGTGAGTGATCTGTTGGTTACTCTTGTCTGTGGCTTCTTGTCCAGGTGGGAGTGTGGATTGATGCTGGCAGCCGTTATGAGACTGAGAAGAACAATGGGGCAGGCTACTTTGTGGAACACCTGGCTTTCAAGGTAAGTCTTGTGAAGTCTCTTTTCCCTCATAATAGGGCTGCCTATTTTAAGAATGAAAGATAGAAAAATTAGCTTCCTGATTATGGGCCCATTGGGGTATAATCTCTGATTAGCATTTCTGGAAAGAGTCATATGGGCTCAGCTTCTTGGCTGAGTGCTTATCTGATGAGCCCCTGCATGAGGTCCCCAAGAAGCCATAGGAGCCCCTCTTTTTACTACGGAGGCTAGGTATTTTAGTTTCATTTATGTTGCTAAACTGACAAAAGGCAGTTTAGCAGCTTGCAGTTCCAGATTTCAGTTCATCACAGGGAAGTCACAGTGGCAGGAGCTTGAAACAGCTGGTCACATCATTTCCACAGTCAAGTGCAAAGAGAAATGGATGTAGGGATGTTACTTGCTTACTTGCTGCTTGTGCTGAGCTTGCTTCAGGCCCACTCTCTATGAAATGGTACCACCCACAGAGGTCTGGGCCTTCCAACATCTATTAACAAATTAAGGCGGTCCCCCACAGGCATACATACCCACAGGCCAACCTAATCTAGGTAATACTTTATTAAGACTCTTCTTCCCAGATGATTCTAGGTTGTCAAGTTGACAGTTAAAACTAAGCATTGTAGGCTTGTGTCATGTGCATGTCTACAGGTGGACTTGATGAACTTGCACATATGTGCATATGCATTACAGACAGGCATGGTCAAAGAAATGCTCTGCTCTGATGGTTTACCTATATCTCTCAATTATAGAGCAGAGGCTGTGTTTTCTGTAAGTGGGGGTGGGGCTGATGAGGAGTTGGAATGGGCATCTCATCTCAGTTGGTTATGTTGTCACAGGTGCTTATGCAGATGTATTTGTGTGTGCATGCTTCAGTGTGTGCCATGAGATGGCACCATGAGACAGTCTGCTGCCCTTATACATGTGGACCTAGAATTGGCCTTATGGAGGTGGCTGCTAGCTTACATAATGGCATTGGTGAGAGAACTAGATCACATCACTTGTTCACGGGTGTGAGCGTCTCTGAACATGGCTGTCAGTAAGGGGATGTGGCGTATTGGTAAGGTCAGGCTGTTATAAGAACTCTAGGTACTAGGTAACAGTTGTTAAAGCCATGCTATTCTATCTGGACCCCACTGGCTGACTCCATCCTTTGGACCATGATGCTGTGGCTTCAGCTCAAGGCCTGCTTAGTGCTCAATGAGTACATATTGCTGAGGGTATACTTACGAACCACTGGTCCTGCTGAGGCTTTAACCTTTGAGGGCAGGATTCTTGCAATCTGGTGTGGCTCCTGATTGATTGTCTTGATGTCTGGTTCCAGGGAACAAAGAATCGACCTGGCAGTGCCTTAGAGAAGGAGGTAGAGAGTTTGGGGGCCCATCTTAATGCCTACAGCACTCGGGAGCACACAGCTTACTACGTCAAGGCACTGTCCAAGGACCTGCCAAAAGGTAACATGTAGAGGAGGATGTGGGAACACAAGGATAGGTCTTCAGGGCAGCCGAGGTCAGGCTCCCAGGAGCCCCTGGATTGGCCACAGCCTTGAACTTACTCATGAGGATGCAGCCTTGGCACAGTGCAACCAGCAGGAGTGTATGATAGCAGGAGATGGTATGCCAGGCTTAGGTTTTATGCTGCCATTGGGCTCTACTGGGCACCTAGACATGCTCGTGTGTGTGTGTGTGTGTGTGTGTGTGTGTGTGTTTGGTTTGGTTTTAGTTTTGATTTTCTTGAGACAGGGTCTCACTATATAAGCCTGGCCTAGAACTTGCTATGTAGACCAGGCTGGCCTCAATCTCACAGTGATCCCCCTGTCTCTGCCTTCCAAGTGCTGGGAGTAAAGGCGTGGACCACTATGCCTGGCTTGTTTTATGTGTGTGTATATCTTGTGTGCCATGACACACGTGTAGAGATCAGAGGACAGCTTGTGGGAATCAGTTCTCTCATTGTACCATGTGGGTTCTGGGGCCCTGATTCAGATCATCAGACTTGGTGGCAAGTGCCTTTACCCATTGAGTTGTCTCTTAGGTTTTTTGAGACAATATCTCATTATATAGCCCAAGCTGGCTTTGAACTCACTATGTAGCCCTGTCCTTGACCTCTTAGTGATCTTTCTGTCTCAGCCTCCCAAATGCTGATATTAGAGGCATGCATCACCACACCTGGTTAACTTGTCCATCTTGTATCCAGTTGTGGAGCTCCTAGCTGACATTGTACAGAATTGCAGTCTGGAAGACTCACAGATAGAGAAAGAACGAGATGTGATCCTGCGGGAGATGCAGGAGAATGATGCATCTCTACAGGACGTGGTCTTTGATTACCTGCATGCCACAGCGTTCCAGGGCACACCACTAGCACAGGCTGTGGAGGGACCCAGTGAGAACGTCAGGTGAGAACTGGTTGTGATTGTGGAGTAACACATGGTCCCCATGAGCCACATACCATTCAGATCATGTTTTTAGTTGGCTAGCTGTCTGTGTTTGTTTTCCTAATTTATAGTTTTTGTACTGCTGTATGGTCATGTGACCCCGTTGCCTATGAGCGCTTCATTTGAGCCTTGGATTCTGTTCAGGATATGTTTCTAAGCTTGTACTGACAGTTTGAGGGAGGAAGCACCTAGGTGTCCCTTCTGTGTGCCACTACCATGTCCTCTCATGGGGAGGGTGCTGTGTGGAGTATACAGAGCAGGAAGAGTCTGCTGCCCTTAGAATTCACAGCCCTCTGAGGAAGCGTAAGCCAACATTGGACTCAGGTCGCACTTCTTGGAGGGCTGTGAGACAGGTCCTTAGGAAGGCTGCCCTTTGGGTCCTAGAGAGGTGGGTGGCAGAGAAGAAGGTTGAGGGGTATGTTATAGCCTGTGCTTTAGAGACATTATGCCTTTTCTGAGCTGCATTTCATGTGACTCAGCTTGCTGTGGAGTAGAAGAGCTGACTCGTTGGCTGCATGTCTTTCAGGAAGCTGTCGCGTGCAGACTTGACTGAGTACCTCAGCAGACATTACAAAGCCCCTCGAATGGTGCTGGCAGCAGCTGGAGGTAAGTGATGGATTTGCTGAAGCCCTGGACAGGTGGGCCCAAATGTTGCTTATCAAAGCCCAGATCTCCTACTTCTGACTGTAGTGGGCCTTCTGACTGTAGTGGGCCTCCTGGAAACTGAGGAACCTTGTTCTGTCAGATCATCGAAGTGTGTCATCTTCTGTGCTTTGAGGTGGGATAGACTGTGACTACACTGAGGCTGGCCATATAAGGGTACTCCCTCTCTAGCACATGCCTCAGTTGTGCTGTCAGTACCTCCTTAGGCCTTAAACTCTTAGGCTCAACTGGTTCTAGGATACCCAGTTTGCTGGCTGGTGTAAGATATCAGCTCCTGCGTTTATTCCTTCTGGCCTTGCCATTGGGTGCCAGAGACATTGGCTGTGTGATGATGGGCTGGGACCACCTTGAAAAGCACAGAATGGTAGCAGAGATTTTAATGTGTGGAGCAGAGATTTTAAGATTTACAGGTGGGTAAGGAGCATTGTACATAGGTCATTTGAGTAGATTTCTCTGAAGGATGGTAGTTGTTAGTGGGAACCTGAGCAGAGGAGAAGGACAGTGTGGTGGCCTGGTGTATATTCTAAGGCTCACTCTGCATTCTAACTAGGGAGGGTGTGCCAGGTACCCTGTTGGAGATGACAGGAGCAAGGGAGAGTGATAGATGGACTCAGGATAGTTTTCTGATGCAGGTCTGGACAGGACTGGATGTGGCTGAGAAAGTAGGCCTGCTCATGCCTTGCCACCAGGGTGGGTGAGAAAGACCGATAGGAGCATAACTGGGTGCTTTAGTCAGGGAACCTGGGGGCCAAGAACATTGTAAGCTACTGACCCATTAGACTTTGTTGAATCTTAGCAGGGCTAGGGCAGTCAAGGCGCCAAAGGTCTCTTATGAGCTAAGAGGCAAGGTGTCTGGCACAGAATCCTAAAGGTCACATAAGTTTGTAATGTTATTTGTAAATGACCCCAGCTATTCAGAGTCCAGGGAGAATCATAGCCCTACAGGAGTACCACTTTGTTCTATCTCAACACCTCTTTAGGTTCATCAGTCGGGTCTGGTTATAATAGAGTAGAGGAAGGGTCAAAGCAGCCAGGTAGCCTTGTACTCAAAGCACACCAGTCTCCTTGATGGAGGTGAGATGGTGCTTCTGGGGAGAAAGTCAGTACTTGTGTGATGTGACAGTCCTTTGGGTTTTTTTGTCTGTTCGTTTGTTTATCTTTGTGGTGCTAGAGAGTGAAGCTAGAGCCTTATCCATGCTAAGGAAGTGCTCTAACCACTGACATACTCTCCTATCCCAGTTCCCAGTCCACCTTTTTTTTTTTTGTCCTTTTGAAACAGGGTCTCCCTGTAGCCCCAGCTGGCCTGGAACTTGATATGTAGACCAGGCTGGCCTCGAAACCACAGAGATCCACCTCTGCCTCCTGAGTTCTGGGATCCAGTCCATCATTTTTAAGTTCAATATGCCTGAGCCTATGAGAGCCATTTAGCCCCAAGATGCCTATCTCCTTGAGACAGGGTTTGTCTATGGATCCTCTTCTTCCTTCACTCTGTTCTAGTGTACATTTCCACTGACACAGGACATGGAGGTCCTGCACCTGTCTGTGATTCCCCTATGCTATGCCATGAATTTTGGTCAGTCACTAACTTTACTCTGTCTCCCCAGGGGTGGAGCACAGGCAGCTGCTAGATCTTGCCCAGAAGCACTTTAGCAGCATCTCTGGAGCGTATGAAGAGGATGCCATACCTGCTATAACTCCATGTCGCTTCACTGGGAGTGAGGTGTGCTACCTGGTGGGCAGGGTTGCTGGGAACTTCTGGGAGGACCCTTGTCTACAAGGTTGTCTTTGTGATGTTAGATACTTAAGGAATTGGCAAGGGTTCTGACATCATCCTTTTTATTTGCCCCGAAGCTGGTTGCCTATCAACCTTGATATGTATTGTTTCAGATCCGCCATCGTGATGATGCCTTGCCTTTGGCCCATGTGGCCATTGCAGTAGAGGGACCTGGTTGGACTAACCCAGATAATGTTGCCCTCCAAGTGGCCAATGCCATCATCGGTCACTATGATTGTACTTATGGTGGTGGAGTCGTAAGTACCAGGAACAGAGATGGTACCTTGCCTTCAAGGAGGAGAGGTTGTGTCTGGAGAGGTGCTGGGTTGTGTCTTAGAAGCTGTGGGACTCAGGATGTGGGCCACAGATAAGAGGTGGGTGATGACTGTCCTTGCCTCTGGCAGCATCTGTCCAGCCCACTGGCTTCAGTTGCTGTAACTAACAAGCTGTGCCAGAGTTTCCAGACCTTCAATATCTGCTACGCAGACACTGGGTTGCTGGGTGCGCACTTCGTCTGTGATAGCATGAACATTGATGACATGATGTTCTTCCTGCAAGGCCAGTGGTGAGTGTCAGCTCAGTACTATTGGGTGAGATAGAGGCCTTTGACCAGCACGGTGGGAGGCTAAGAGACAGCACAGTCTTCCAGAATGAACACTGCTGCACCCCCTCCTTCTATGCCCTGCTTTAGGATGCGCCTGTGTACAAGTGCTACAGAGAGTGAGGTGAATAGGGGCAAAAACATCTTCAGAAATGCCCTGGTGTCTCATCTGGATGGTGAGTCCTGCAGCTTTATAGGGAAGGATAGAGGGTGTCCTGCCAGGGGCCACAGTGGCATCTATAGTGTAACCATTGTTCCTAACCAAGTATAGAAAGGAAAACCTAGGCCGGGTGTGGTGTTTTCACACTTGTAATCCCAGCATTTGAGAGATGAGGCAACAAGGTCAGGCGTGAGATCCATTTCTTCTGACCTCCATTCGCATTGCATGACACAGGAGCACTTACATAATTGTAGGCAATATACTCATACACAAAAAAATAAAGATAATTTTTTTAAAAAAGTAAAAGAAACCAAAAGGAGGGAGGAGGAAGGGAAGAGAAGAAAGAAGACTTGAAGATCAAACCATGCCCTGCCACCCCACATGCAGGGGTTTGGAGTTTCAGGTGCAGGTGAAGGTAGCCCAGATCAGAAATAAAGATTATGAGCTGGGATCAGAGCAAGGTCCTGGAGGCCCTTGTCAGCCTGACCTCTAAGCATTTCCCCTTCCCTTGAAGGCACCACTCCTGTGTGTGAAGATATTGGTCGTAGCCTGCTCACTTATGGCCGTCGCATCCCTCTGGCCGAATGGGAGAGCAGGATTGCGGTAAGTGGGCCCTGGAAGAAATTCTGGAGCCTAGGGCTGGCAGGCCTCTGTGGAGTTGTGGGTTGGGGTCTGACAGAATTGAGCTTGTTCCCATAGACATCTCTGTTGTCCTCGGTGGCTACCACTTGCCGAGGTGGGGTAGTCAGGCATCTAGAGTAGGGAGGACCCTCCACATTTCCCCTTTGAGTAGAGGGACAGCTTCACAGAATACCTGGAAGATAGGGGTTGACTCAAAAAAGTTAACTGGCCAAGAGGGTACAAAGTACCTGTCATTCAGTGCGCTCTCTACTTCCCCCTATAGGTGGTGGATTCCCATATGCTGCGTGAGGTCTGCTCCAAGTACTTTTATGACCAGTGTCCAGCAGTGGCTGGATACGGTGAGTGGTCTAGAAGGCTTGTTCTTTATCATTTTCCTCAGGCCATTATCTTTGCCTCCCTGTCTGCCTCTGCTCCCCAAGCCAGCTTATACTTTGAGAAAGAAGTTCAGGTCCTCAAGAGGCTCTCCTCAGGAGCCTGGCTGCCAGGGAGTTCTTGCTCAGAAAACCTGTCCCAGCAGCTCCCTGGGTCCCTGCCAGGCAGCCTCCATCAATACCCCCTGCCCCCAACCCACCAAGTAACGGGCACCCTGCATGTGGGGTGGGGCTGCCAGGGCTAGAGCATGAAAGGACAGGCTCTGCACCCTGGGGAATGTGCTCTTCCCTCTTTTCACTCAAAGCCCGTCTTGTATTGCTCTGGGCATCCACTCTGAGCTGGGTATGGCACAGGGCCAGGTGTCCCTGTGCAGGCAAGACACTCCACCCTGATTCCCCACCCTATCCCCACAGGCCCCATCGAGCAGCTCCCAGACTACAACCGGATTCGTAGTGGCATGTTCTGGCTGCGCTTCTAGGCAGGAAGCCTGTGCAAGCAAGAAGGCAGGGGGCCAGGGCTCATGGTCCTCTGCCACAAACATACTATTCTGGTTCCTCAAACCCATGCTGCCAGTTACCACCAATAAAGTCCTGTTGAGAACTGTGGTGTTCTTCCTTTAGCATTGGCATGGAGTCCATTGGGGCACAAGGACTTTTCCCCCGAGTTCTACATCTCCTAGATCCTTCTGTCTTCTCCCAGGCTAATGTGTCCTCAGCCAGGGGCAAGTGTGGGGGCTGCAACACAGAGGCCGGAAGCCTTTGATGCTTCCAGGGAGCAAAGCCCAGATGTTTCCACTCAGCTACATGGGGGACATTCCTCAGCCAGCCTGTCCCAGGAGTGGGATGTGGGAGTCCATGGAAACTACAGGCCCAGCCTATGCCCTAGTAGAGGTCCCAACCTGGAATCTGGGAGCTTAGGTAGAAAACCCTCACTGCAGACCCTGTACAGGGCCACTCTGGCTGGCCCCTGTTCCCACTGGGATGGACTAGGAGGGGCCATGGGCATCCCTGAGGAAGCCTCTGAGTGTTTACTGTGTTACAGAGAGGATAGCCTGGGGCACAGTGTTCTGATTTGGTTTGTAACTGCTGTCTGGACAGGCAGGGTAGGGCAAGAATCCTTTGCCTTGATTTGCTGCTGACTCAGGCTCCAAGAATAACCCTGAGCTCAGTGGAGCCCAAGCCCCCTCCCTCCTCTAGGTCTGTCCTAGGCAAGTCTTGAGCTGTTGGCCTAGTGATCCCCTCCCCATCTTTCTGAGGCAGCCAGGACCTAACTAATCTAATGGCGCTCTCAGCTGCTGGATCTCTGCTGCTCCTTGGGGCCTTAATCCCTTAAGGCACATGAACAGATAGGCCCCACAACCCCCTCCCCCCCATCCTTCTACAAGTCAGGTTCCTGAGAGGCCCAGTAGGAAAGATGGGAGGAAGGAGCCTGGTCCTCTTGAAGTTGCTGGCTGCTGATGGGACAAAGTTTGTTGAGAGGGGACTATTCAGAAGTCTCCCATCACCCTCTTCTGAAAGCCAAAACAAGCCTTGACTCTTAAGCTCCCTGGGGCCTTTCCCTCAATTGTGAGTTAGGGAGCATGTCTTAATGTTTTGCATGGGTACCAGACAGGTTATCCTACTGTTTGATCAGCTGGAGAGAAGCTATTGGGCAACAGAATCCTTAGCTGGGCCCAACTTTGGTAGTTTAAGATGAAGTACCCAGGCCAGGGAATGAATGCTGAGTCTACTGAACTGGAAGATGGGACTCTAGGGCTCTGGAGAGAAGGATGAGCGGTTAAGAGCACTGACTGTTCTTGCAGAGGACCCAGGTTTGTTTCTAGCACCCACATTGCAGCTAACTGTAACTCCAGTTCCAGAGCCCTCTTCTGACCTCTGTGGGCATTGCATGACATGGGTATACTTACATAACATGCAGGCAATACATCATTAAAAGAAAATTAAAAAACAAGTGAAAAAGATGGGACTCTTTGAAGTCAATGTTTGACCCCAAAGGCTACAGATATGCTGAACACATGAGAGAGCTGGGACTTGGGAGTGTCTGGACTCCTTACATAATGAAGAGCCAGAACATTTATCCTCTAGAAGCATGTCAGGGAGGTGCCCTGGAGTTTAAAGAGAAGTGGCTTGGTGAGAGCTGTGAATTATTAGCATGGGGACTCAGGTTAGATTTCTGTGGCAGTCCAGGTCAGGGCTGTAGGGACAGTTGGAGTGGCCTGTGGAAGTATAAGCAAGGCAGCATTCCTACTAGTACTGGGGGACCCAGAGGAAGAGTGGGTCAGAGGGAGGGATAGCTTGCCTAGTTTTAACCACATTTCCAATGAGGACTTTGGAGATGTCCAGGATACAGTGGGATGTGCCACTGGAACCTCAAAAAGAGGCCCTGGTTGGCAACATGGTGCCATCTGGTAAAACAACTGAAGCCAGGGAAGAAAATGTACAGGGAGGCATAAGACAGTCCACACTTTCCTAATAGAAGAGCTGCAGGTAGGTAGGTACTGGTCTCCAGGGCTGTGCCTGATGCTGTGTGTTTGTCAGGCTGCTGCAGTCAGGGGCCTCAAGGACCACACCCTGAACCTTTTGACCACTACAGACTTAAATCATTCCCCAACTTTGCTTCTACTTTCTCAACAGACTCCTTTGATCCTTACAGTGCCCTTCCTTTCAGGGGTACTTAAGTTCTAGAGAGGTTTGCCTTGATGCCAACACTTGAATTGGGCCATGTATCTTTCCTAAGGGCCAGACCCACATATGCATGTATGTCCATACCGTACATGCCATCTCTGCCCTGCTGTCATCCACCCTTGCTGTACCAGAGTAGATGATGACCTTAAGGGCAGGGGTTATCTCTATGGGAGCATGCCTGGTTCTCTACTGCCCCCATCTGGAGCACACCTTCCAAGGGTGGGAGGTCCCAGGACACTGCTGAGGAGACCTTGACCTTGGAAAAAGGTTCTGGGTCTTGTGAAGACACCACTATGTCCCGGATAGTTCTGGGATTGGGGTTGTCAGTGATAAGGGAAAGCTCCAGCTTTCCTGGACAACAAGAAAATGGGTTTGGATGGTCCTCTCTACCCTGAGGTCTGGTCATGCTAGAGAACCCTCAGACCTAGACAGATCCAGGGGAAACAAATGTTAACAGAATTGTCATCCATCCCCATCTCCTTACTTAGCCTGTGGATCTGAGGGGAGGAGGTTGCAGGGCCAGGCATATTGGAAGCAATCCAGTAGCTTCAGTAAGTGAAGATCTGCTTTCTGGACTGTGTGGAACTATTCAGGACTGAATAGAAAACAAGGAAGCCAGGCCCACACCCACATGGGGGCTCATTTTCTTAGGAGTGTCTCTCTGCCTTGACTTCACCCATCAAAGGAAGATAATATGGATATCCAAAGACAGTGGGCTTGATCTGGGGGTGGTGGTGTTAGTTTAGGAATGCCTGTCCACAATCATAGATGTCAATCGGGAGCAAGGAGGGATGAAGAAGAGAGGGAAAGTTATGAAAGGGAAAGTTAGATACCTTGAGGAAGTGAGGAAAGGAAGTGGGCCTAGTTGGGGAATTGGGTAGAAGGGGTCTACAGGAAAAGTAGGTTGAGGGGGGAGACCCCTAGAGACCAGAATGATGACAGACAGGGGAACCTTGCCTGAGACATAGGTCCTGCCAGTGGGAGCATGGGTAGCAGGAGGTGAATTCCTGAGAGATGAGCTGTGCCTGTGGGTGGTCCCACCCTCCGGCACATGGACAGCCCCCTCCTGCAAACACAGCTGGATGGCATCTGCTTGGGACCGGTTCAAGGCATAGTAGGGAGTGAGGGACATTGGGTTGGATACATGAATAAGCATGGTATAGGTTCTCTCCTGGTTTCCCCCTCCTAAAAGGAGGTGTACTAAGAGCCAGCCCAATGAGATCTTGATCTCCCCAAGTCCCAAAGACCCTCATTTGCTGGGGTCTGCTCTGCCTGTCACAGAGGTTAGGGTGGGGCACAGGAAGTCCACCAGACAGAGGGATAGCTGATTCACAGACTTGTTAGTTGGGACATATGGCCTAAGGCCTTGTCTGGACTCCCCCACCGCGATGGAGGTGAGTCAGCTCTCACTACCCCTACCATCCTGCTGCTGCCCCTATGGTCTGCAGGAACCTGGCCATATTTCAATCAGCAGTAGCCACTCCACTGGTAAATCTGACTAAAAGTAGTCACCATCTGTGACCCCATATTGGGTTGGGGTCTCTTAGTGTCTGTCAAGAACCCGGGGCTGGGGGGATTCCCAGAAGCCACAGGAGGGGGCCTAGCATTTAAGTGCGTCATATCATCTGTCCAGGAGAAGTGTGGGGGGGCGACCTATGGGGAGGTGGGTGAGGGCGGGCCGCCTGGGTCCCCGCCTGCTGCTCCGCCTCCTGGGATGGGGACTTTTCTCAGCTCTGCCCGCGGGACTTGCGGCAGCGGCAGCGGCGGCGGCGGCGGGAGCTGGCAGAAGCACAGGCAAGGCTTGGACTTCGGGTGGGGGGCACTGGGCTCCAACCCGCCAAAGACGCCAGGGACAAGGGGCAGAGGTGGGGATCCCGACTGACTGTTTCTATCACCCAGGATGAGAGTGCGGCTCCTGGTCACTGCGCTCTGCGCCGAGATCCTGGCAGGGGCGCCTGGAGTGTGGGCCCAGCCCAGGGAGAGAGGTGGGCACCGGCTGGGAAGGACGCCCTCTGGGGGCACCGGCATCCTGTCACCCATGGGTCCACGCGAACCTCATCACTGACACCTCCTCACCGCGGGTGCCTCCGAACTCTTCACCAATGCCTTCTAACGCTCCCCAGACTCCCCAGATTCCTCACTGGGTTCCCTAAACTGCCTCTTATCTTGTTGGGACCCAAATTTGGCTACCTAGACGCATGCCTAATTCCTTGCCCTATGCCACCCGGCGCCGGCCCCTCAGATGCTGTGACCTCAGCTCCAGAGCTACACCCCTGCGTCAATTCTCCCTCCCCCGCACGCAAGTGCTCCAGCCCTCCCCAGGAGGCTCTGCTCTGAGCCCCACTGCAGCTTCCTCCAAACACACCTACCTGGGCTCGCTTTGTCTACACAGTTGAGGCCTTCCTCAACTCAGTCCCCTAGTCCCAGGGAATCTCAGTGAGGAGAGGAGGGTGTATGGAAAGGTCAAATGAGCTCTCCTACCCTCTTCAGTGACCTGCACTCGTCTTTACGCCGCTGACATCGTTTTCTTACTCGACGGCTCTTCTTCCATTGGCCGCAGCAACTTCCGAGAAGTGCGAGGCTTCCTGGAGGGACTGGTGCTTCCTTTCTCAGGGGCAGCCAGTGCACAGGGCGTCCGCTTTGCCACGGTGCAGTACAGTGATGACCCTCAGTAAGTAGTGACAGTGATCAGTGATAGGACCACCAAGACTCCTTCCCCTTACAGGGAAGAGCCCAGAAACCTTCAGGCTGGGTGCCTCTTGAGAAGTCCAGAGTCCCTAGGCAGAATTTCTCTGGAGATATATAGGGATTACTAGGAAGAGTAGTGAAACACCTCTAGGCTAGTGTCCTGCCCAACACAGGGAAGCTCTGTTTTCTGATCTGGATGGACAGGGGAAGTCCAGGAGGGGTCCAGAAGTCTTAAGTGCTAGGTGTCTCTTGGAATGGCCATGTTCTGGCTCCCTGAACCCCTTCACCTCTTTGCTCACCAGAAAAGTTTTCTGTTTGGCCAATGTCCACTTTCCTACAACTGGGACCTTCCTTCTGTAATTATTTAACTAGATATCCTGTCCCTCTAGGCTGAGGACCCCAAGGGTTCCAGACCTGTTGAGGGCTAGCAATAGATGGTACACAAAAGAGCAACCAAGGAGTTTGTTGATATGGAAGTTTCAGGATAGGCATCTCAGAACCAAGGTCACTCTCAAGAAGCCTTACTCCAAGCCTGGCGCGGTGGCGCATTCCTTTAATCCCAGCACTTGGGAGGTAGAGGCAGGTGGATCTCTGTGAGTTCAAGGCCAGCCTGGTCTACATAATGAGTTCTAGGACAGCTGGGGCTACAGGGAGACCCTGTCTCAAAAAAAAAAAAGAAGAAGCCTTACTTCAGAGGCTAGGGCTGGAAGAAGTCATGACCCCTTGCCTGTTGCCACCCCATTTCCTCCCATCAGGACAGAGTTTGGTCTGGATGCTCTCAACTCTGGAAGTGATACTATCCGTGCCATTCGTGAGCTCAGCTACAAGGGTGGCAACACTCGTACAGGGGCTGCTCTCCTCCATGTGTCTGACCATGTCTTCTTGCCCCATCTGACCCGACTTGGCATCCCCAAGGTGATCCCTAAAGCTACGATGCCTCCCAAGGTGACCCAAAAAGAAGTGTCCAAGGCATATCTAACTGGTCTCTGCACCTATCCCAGGTCTGTATCCTAATCACAGATGGGAAGTCTCAGGACTTAGTGGACATAGCTGCCCAGAAACTGAAGGGGCAGGGAGTCAAGCTGTTTGCTGTGGGTGAGTACTAAGTTGAGGTGAGAGGTCATCTGGAGTGGGGACCAGTCAGATAACATGTAGGCAATTGAGTCCTGATTGGGCATTATGTCAGGAATCAAGAATGCTGATCCTGAGGAGTTGAAGCGCGTTGCCTCACAGCCAACCAGTGATTTCTTCTTCTTCGTCAATGACTTCAGCATCTTGAGGACACTCTTACCCCTCATTTCCCGGAGGGTATGCACGACTGCTGGTGGCGTGCCTGTAACCCAGCCTTGTGAGTTCCTGCCCATGCCGGGTGCCCTGAATCAAGGTCTCTATCCTAGCCCCAGCCCGAAAGTACTGAATCCATCCCATGTACTCCTGACCCCTGACCCCTGACCCTTCTGCCTGCCTGCTTGATATTCCCCATTCACAGCTGATGATGCTATATCTGGGCCTCGGGACCTGGTGCTGTCTGAGCCAGGCAGTCAGTCCTTGAGAGTACAGTGGACAGCAGCTAGTGGCCCTGTGACTGGCTACAAGGTTCAGTACACTCCTCTGACAGGACTGGGACAGCCACTACCAAGTGAGCGGCGGGAGGTAAGGATATCATCAGTGACTGGTGGATGCTAGGGACTTGGCTGGACAACATAAAGTGACTTCTGACCCTGGATAGGTGAACGTCCCAGGTGGCAAGACCAGTGTGCAGCTGCAGGGTCTCCGGCCACTGACTGAATACCAAGTGACTGTGGTTGCCCTCTACGCCAACAGCATTGGGGAGGCTGTGAGTGGGACAGCTTGGACCTGTGAGCAATTATACCCATCTCTGACCTCATTCTCTTAAACATCCAGCCCATAACCCCTTCCCACACTTGGCTCTACTAATCCCTGGTGGGGCTTTCCTCCAGCTGCTGTGGAAGGGCTAGAGCTGAGCATCCAGAACGCCACAGCCCACAGCCTCCTGGTGGCCTGGAGGAGAGTGCCAGGTGCCACTGGCTACCGTGTGACATGGCGAGTCCTCAGCGGTAAGTGAGGGGTATAAGCTGAGGAGTACCAGCACTTCAGACAAGATATACCATTCTGCATCTCCAAGGCCCACTAACCCCTCTGTGCCCCCCCAATATAGGTGGGGCAACACAGCAGCAGGACCTGGTCCCTGGACAGGGGTCAGTGTTCCTACATGGCTTGGAGCCTGGCACAGATTATGAAGTGACTGTCAGCACCCTATTTGGCCATAGTGTGGGCCCTGCTACTTCCCTGACTGCCCGAACTGGTGAGAAGGCTGCCTTCCTTCTTTAGGCTGGGGTGGGCAGATGGGGCAGGGTGTAACTGGCTAAGTAACTGATAATCCCATGTCTCCTGGGCAGACTTCTCTGTTGAGCAGACCCTGCGCCCTGTCATCTTGAGCCCCACATCTATCTTTCTTTCCTGGAACTTGGTGCCTGAGGCCCGTGGCTACCGGCTAGAGTGGCATCGCGAGAGTGGTCAGTGGAGGTGGAGAGCTGGGTATGCAGGGTTTAGGGTTTGGCTTTAGCTAACCTGACCCTGTCATCTTGCAGGCTCAGAGCCACCACAGAAAGTAGTACTGCCCTCTGATGTGACCCACTACCAGTTGGATGAGTTGCAGCCAGGCACTGAGTATCGCCTCACTCTCTACACTCTGTTGGAGGGCCATGAGGTGGCCACCCCTGCAACTGTGGTCCCTACAAGTGAGGGCTCTGTGGTCTGGTTAAGTAATTGGGGAAGGGTAAGAACTTCAGACTGTTTCATGCTGTACTCTCCAACAGGGTCAGAGCTGCCAGTAGGTCCTGTGATGAATCTACAAGTGACTGAACTGCCTGGGCAGCGGGTACAAGTGTCTTGGGACCCAGTCTCCAGTGCCACAGAATACCGCATTACTGTTCGCAGCACCCAGGGTAAGGTGGAAGCAGCCAGAAAAATCCTTTCACACTGAAGCTGAGCCTGCAGCATGCTTCCACTCCTTTTATTCATTTGGGCCTCGATAGCCTCTTTCACGTCTTTGCCCATCCACGCCCCAAGAGGTGTTGAGCCCACAACTAACTCCAGGTCTGTCTCCTCTGCCTCAGCCTGTCTCCTCATGTGGCTGTTTCCATTCCTTGCTCACATTGCTGCCCATGGCTTTCACTCACTGTTCTTTACAACTGCAAGCTCTATGACCTTCTCTTGTGCTATCCTAACCATGATCACTGTTCATACTAATCTCTCATTCATGACCTCATCCAACATTCACCTCTGTCATCCTATGTCAATATCTATCAGTAGTTCATCAACTTGCATTGCTTGCCACTGATTCCCACGTGCTATATCCCGTGTTCCTGTCCACTGACCCCTATCATCCACTGTCCCCATTCATTAGTGGCCCCTGTTGTCCTGTGTCGCCATCATCACTGACTCTTTCACCTCATGTCCTTACCTCTCTCTGTTTTCATCTCTGAGTACCTCTCACCATCCCATCTCTCCATCATCCCCATGAGACTTCTTCTGTTTGTCACTGTCATTCCACATTCCTGTTTGTCTTACTGACCCCCTGCCCACCCACCCTGACTTCTCTCAGGTGTTGAGCGGACCCTGTTGCTTCCTGGGAGTCAGACAGCCTTTGACTTGGATGATGTTCGAGCTGGGATTAACTATAATGTGCGAGTGTCTGCTCGAGTGGGTGCTCGTGAAGGTGATGCCAGTGTCCTAACGATCCGCCGAGGTGAACACTTTGAGTGAACACTTGCGGGGGGGGGGGGGTTATGGCAGGCAGTTGCTTGATTTGCTCCTATCCATGTCTTGTCCCTTGACCCCTGTCTTTAACTCCCAGATCCAGAAACACCACTTACTGTCCCAGGCTTGCGGCTTGTGGCATCAGATGCAACAAGAGCAAGGGTGGCCTGGGGACCTGTTCCTGGAGCCAGTGGATTTCAGATTAGCTGGAGGACTGACAGTGGTCAGTGTGTGGTGTGTGGGAGGATTGCCAAGGGGAATCAGAGCATGGGGGACTGAGAGGACAGGTGGAAGTTATAGCATCATTTTTCTCTGATTCTAGGTCCAGAGTCTAGTCAGATGCTGCCTCCAGACTCCACTGCCACAGACATCCTGGGGCTGCAGCCTGGAACCTCTTATCACGTGACTGTGTCAGCACTCAGAGGGAGACAAGAGGGCCCCCCTGCATTCATTGTGGTTCAAACTGGTCAGAGCCTAACACAGTCCCTCGGTTCTCTGTCTCCAGTGCCCCTTCAGACTTCTATGCCCCCCCCAGATCCCTTACATTTCCACTGCCTCCTACCTGAGTCCCCTTCCATCATCATTCCTCCTTTTGAGCCTTCCCCTTCTTTCCATTTACCCATCTCATCTAAGACTCTATGACTTTGCCCTCTGACTTCTACTACTCATCCCTCAGAACTCACTACTTTTTTCTTTCCCTTCCTCATTCTTCTTTAGACTCTCTTATGCCAGGCGTGGTGATGCACACCTTTAATCCCAGCTCTTGGGAGGCAGAGTGGGTGGATCTCTGTGGGACTGAGGCCAGCCTGGTCTACAGTGTCTCCTCTGTCTTTTGCCAGATGCTTTTGCTATTTCCTAATGCATCCATCGGACCTCTCTGTCAGAGCTTGTCTTTCAGATTGCTGCCACTTGCCAGCTCAGTCTTTCTACTATGCCTTCTGTCAGAATCCCAGCTCCTTTCCTGTCTGACCCATTCACTTCTCCTGCCATATCCTTGCCTCTTACAGACATTCATAGCCTTCCCTTACTAGATAGTTCCCACTTCTCCCCTGTCAGACCTTCTCCCGCCTACTCCACCAACTCCCCCATTATCTCCCTCTCTAGACCCACTGGGCGCAGTGAGGAGAGTCCATATGACCCAGGCTGGCAGCTCATCTGTCTCCATTGCCTGGACCAGGGTTCCTGGTGCTACGGGATACAAGGTTTCCTGGCACTCAGGCCATGGTAGGAGCTGGGGGTCTGGGGAGGACTGTGGGAGGCAGATCTGAATAGATTGGGAGCAGATGTTTCTTTGGGGACCAAATGGGGCATTGGGGCAGCCTGGCTAGCCCTGAAGTTGCCTCAATTGTTCCTCTCAGGCCCAGAGAAATCTCAGTTGGTTTCTGGGGAGGCCACAGTGGCTGAACTAGATGGGCTGGAGCCAGACACTGAGTATACAGTGCGAGTGAGAACCCATGTAGCTGGCGTGGATGGAGTCCCTGCCTCTGTGGTTGTGAGAACCAGTGAGTAGACCCTGGACAGCTGTTCTCGCACCTCACTGGCTGACCCACCCCACTATGTATTCCTGACTGCACCAGCTGCCCACTCCATTGCTGCTCAGTGACTCCCCTGACCATGCTGAACCACACACATAGTGACTGCATGTCTACCTATGGTGACCTTGGCCACACCACACTATCCACTCTTAAATACTAATCTTTTCCCTCTTAAAGTTAGCCACACTGACCCATTCTCCCTAACCTTCAGACTCCCCTGCATGACCCATACCTGCGGTGTCACCCCTGTCTCTGCCAGGTACCCTGTGGCCCCTGGCCCCTTATCCTGCCTTTGTTCCCAGCCCCCGAACCTGTGGGCAGTGTGTCAAAACTGCAAATCCTCAATGCTTCCAGCGATGTTCTACGGGTCATCTGGGTAGGGGTCCCTGGAGCCACATCCTACAGATTGGTGTGGGGTCGGAGTGAAGGTACGGCTCCATGACTCCATCTTTAGCCTTCCAGACTGTGACTGCCCTCTGTGGTTAGCTTCCCAAACTCCTAACTGTTGCTATTTGCTGGTCTGTCCAGGTGGCCCCACGAAACACCAGATACTCCCAGGAAGCAAAGACTCCGCAGAGATTCGAGGTCTCGAAGGTGGAGTCAGTTACTCAGTTCGAGTGACTGCACTGGTTGGAGACCGAGAGGGAGCGCCCGTTTCCATTGTCGTCACCACACGTACGTAGGCTGAACTTGGGTCAGAACGATCCTTCGATTGGTGCTTATGTCCAAGGGGCGGGCTGAAGGGGGAGAGGCTTGTTGTGCTGGGGTTTGGAGAAGCTCCAAGGATTTTGTGAGCCTGCGGGGGCGGGGTCCGGGATAAACTGGATGAAGCCGCAGTCAGTCAGTGGGGGCTGTTTGTGGGGAGGGGGATGATTGGCACAGCTAGTGGGGGCGGCGCTTTTTCCCTGACTGCAGCGCTTTTTCTCAAGCGCCTGAGGCTCCATCACCTCTGGAGACCCTTCAAGTAGTGGAACGTGGGGAACATTCATTGAGGCTTCGCTGGGATCGAGTACCCGGAGCACAGGGCTTCCGTCTGCGTTGGCAACCTGAGGGTGAGAGGTGCCCCAGTAGGAGGTTGGGACCAATGGAGAGAGAGAAGCTAATGGGCAGAGTCAGTGAAATTGGTGAGAGGTCTGCTGGATCGAAGACAACAAGTGGGTGGGGTCAGTGAGTCGTTGAGATGGTGGGTCAGGAAATTTCAGTAAAGTGGGCAGGGACAAGGTGAATGGGGCAAATCAATCAGGAGGATAGATCTAATTGGCATCAGTATGGATGGTGGGAATCAGTAAGGTGGGCACATCCATCCATGTTGGTATCTGCTCCATAGTAATCCTGACCCCTACTCTCATACCTGTCTCAGGTGGCCAGGAACAGTTCCGGATCTTGGGGCCCGAGTCTAGCAGCTACAACCTGGATGGGCTGGAGCCAGCAACACTGTACCATGTATGGCTGAGTGTCCTGAGGCCAGCTGGAGAAGGACCCCCCAGGGAGGTGACTGCACACACTGGTGAGCCTCCCCCAGAGGGCCCACCAGTCTTGATGCCTTCTTCCCCCCACTGATGATGCACCCTGATCTCCTGGGGTGATTCTAGCATGACCTCACAGGATGCTTTGCTAAAAAGAACTTGCTCCAGGATCTCACATCTGCCTCTGATCCTTTGATTCTTCATTCAGCGTCCCCTCACGTCCCAAGTACTGAATTACATGTAGTGGACACGTCCATTGACTCAGTGACTTTGGCCTGGACCCCGGTGTCTGGGGCAGACACCAGCTACATCCTGTCCTGGCGGCCACTTAGAAGCACTGGCCAGGGTGAGAGGACAGCTAGGGTTGGGGTAGGTTTGCAACTGGAGTTCCATGGAGAAGCTTTTGTTTAACCAAATCTGCCTTTACAGAAGTGCCTGAAGCATCACAGACACTGCCAGGGATCTCAAGCTCCCACAGGGTGACAGGCTTAGAACCTGGTATCTCCTATATATTTTCTCTGACACCTGTCCAAAGGGGTATACAGGGTCCTGAGGTCTCTGTCACTCAGAAGCCAGGTATGAAAGGCACAGTAGGAGAAGCCTGAGGGAACCATGAAATGGGCTTACCATATCAGTAACACAGCTCTTTCCTGCAGTGTGTCCCCGTGGACAGGTGGACGTGGTGTTCCTGTTGCATGCCACTCGAGACAATGCTCACAATGCAGAGGCTGTAAGGCGGGTCCTGGAGCAGCTGGTGTCTGCACTTGGGCCTCTTGGGCCTCAGGCTGCTCAGGTTTGGCGCTAGAGACAACCAAATTCCACCTGTCCCCATCCCTTATCTCCACAGGCTCCTCACCAGCCACCATCTCTCTACTTGACTGTAGGCTCAAGCTTTACCTGCTCTCCTAGTCATCTCACTTGCTGGGAGACTCCCTGTCCTACCATCATTGCTGACCCCTAGTAAACAGTTCAGGTTTAGTCATGCCCCTCTCCTGTCTCTTTCTCTAGGCTCTGGGTGCCCCCGTCCTACTCTGTCATCCCCTCTAGGCTCTGTGTCTCTTCCTACCCAGGTTGGCCTGCTGTCCTACAGTCACCGGCCCTCCCCACTGCTCTCACTGAATAGTTCTCATGACCTTGGCACCATCTTCCAGAAGATCCGTGACATCCCTTATGTGGACCCAAGTGGAAACAACCTAGGTGAGGACTGTGATTGGTGTGGACTCCAGGGGCTTCTCCTCCAGGAGCTTGGTGGCCCAGGGTTCTGACACATCTTTCCTTCCAGGCACAGCCGTGATCACAGCTCATAGATACTTCTTGGCACCTAATGCTCCTGGCCGCCGTCAGCAAGTACCAGGGGTTATGGTTCTGTTAGTGGATGAACCACTGAGAGGCGACATATTCAACTCCATTCGTGAAGTCCAGGCTTCTGGTGAGGTCCGGGCTGATGGTATGGAGCCTTGGGAATGGGAGTAGCCCCAATGATGCTGTCATGCAGGTTGCTGATCTCTTCTTAGGGCTCAAGGTGATGATGCTGGGCTTGGGGAGAGCTGACCGAGAGCAGCTACATCGCTTAGTGCCAGGCAGGGACCCTGTGCAGAACTTCTTTGCTGTGGATAATGGCCCAAGCTTGGACCGGGCAGCCAGTGATCTGGCAGGTGCCCTATGTCAGGCAGCTGTGGCTACTCAGGTTTGGACAAAGCCTTTGGAGGACTGCTGGTGAAGGAGGGGGGTTAGGGTTCTTTTGTTTTTTTTAGGAAAACTTTCTGGTCTCAAAGAGACTCTGTGTTCACAGCTACAGCCAGAGCCTTGTGCTGTGCATTGTCCAAAGGTAAGTGTCCAGGGTTGAGTGAGCAGGTAAAGGCATTCCTAGGACTAGCCACTCTGACCCTCTTCTGATAAATCTTTCCCTAGGGTCAGAAAGGGGAGCCTGGAGTGATGGTGAGCATCCCTGTGGAGGTAGAGAATGCACTGGGAGTCAGTGGGGGCAGGGGTGGTTGGCCGCACAGGACTCACTAGTCACCCTCCTTTTTAGGGACTGCAGGGACAGGCTGGACCTCCTGGTCCCCCCGGTCTCCTGGTGAGTGCCTCCCCACACCTGCCCCTGTCCTGCCTGGCTTACTGTCTCCTGACCTGCTCTCCTCACTCAGGGCAGGACCGGTGCTCCTGGCCCCCAAGGTCCCCCTGGAAGTACCAGCGCAAAGGGCGAGAGGGTAAGTGAGGAAGCTGTGAGCTTCTCCAGGGGAGTCAGGAGGAAGAAGGAGGAAACAGAGTTAGAATCATAGGGTAAGCCTGGCATGGTAGTGCGTATTTGTAATCCCAGCACCCAAGAGGCAGAGGCAGGAGAATCGCAACAACCTTGAGGCTAGAAGGTCAGCCTGGTCTATATAGCCAGCCAGGCCTTATACAGCAAGACCCATCTCAAAAAAAAGAACCATAGACTATTCTTAGAAGCCCGAGTCAAGATAATAAACTATACTAAATTAGGGAAGGCTCTGAAGTGAGGAACTAAAGGAGTTTTGAGATGCCTCAGCCTCTGCCTCCTCTCTGCCTTGTGCCTGGGACTGGCTCCATTCTGCTTGGTGGGGCCACTGATCATCTCTGATAACACTTGTGATAACACTATTTGGTAGGATGGGCCTCTTTCTGCAAACCATGACATTGGGAGAGGACTCCTTCCTGTTCTAACCTCTTTGCCTCCTAGGGCTTTCCTGGACCAGAAGGGCCTCCAGGTAGCCCTGGCCTCCCTGGTGTTCCTGGGACCCCTGGGACTTCTGGAACTAAGGTGAGCAAGCCTTGTCCTTGCTGGTCACAGTGGGACGATTCCTTGAATAGGTAGTATGGTTCTAACTGTTCTGTCTGTCTCTGGCCCCCATTTGCAGGGCTCCCCAGGGTGGCCTGGCTCTCGTGGGGAACCGGTAAGTTCTCTCTCTCTCTCTCTCTCTCTCTCTCTCTCTCTCTCTCTCTC